GTGATATCACTATCACTCTTGCCACCAGACCAGGACAAAACATCTTTATATTCATTTCACTCGTAACGTCTTTTTAAGTTTGGACAGAAAACAACGAATAAACCGTTGCTGTTTGTCTTTCCAACAACACGCAATATCACACCTCTTTTAGACCCTTTTTTTTGAGCCAGAAAGGCCAACTTGATGATTAATAAGTGTTACACATTTTTAAGAGGCAAACTGCACATCAAAAGCTTCCTCTGTGCAGGACGGCAATTGCTTAATTACACTTCTGGGGATGTGCCACACCTTACATTGTTTACCACAGTCATAAAGTCAGGTGTTTGTTGTGATTCATTGATTTGTTTTTTCTCAGGTTGAAGACTGTCAGAGCTTTTCTGTGAGACGAGGATTAAGAATGTATTTAGATAAATGAAACATGGGGGAGTGTGTTGGAGTGTGTGATTTGGCCACAGAGGTCGGAGCAGCTATGTCCACTCAGGCTCCCGCTTCAATGATGTACAAGACTCTCATATCTTGATAAAATTGAGGATTTATTAAATGTTCCTGACAACTGCGGAGGGGAAAAAATTTCGGGATGAATTTTAGAGTTTTTAAACCGGCGCAAAAATCTGTTAAAATAATTGATGCCGTACACAGTAGACTGGAGGCGGGGACGGTTTCCTGGAGCTCTGTGGATGGTTGTTTGCTCAATCTGTTTGTATAGCGTTTATTAGCAGTTTTTTAGATAGTAGTGGAGGAGGCAGAGCGAGACAGGAAATTCAGCAGAGGACAGACCAAAAGGTCAGGAACAGGATTTGAAAGGTGTGACATAAAATTAGACTTTGAAGCCGGCTGTTTGTGGTTAAACTAAAGGTCTATCTCTGTAGGGATCCTTTCATAATGCTGTCAGACACTGACAATAACAACCTGAGTCTGTCAGTGGAACAAACTACTACTGTTAGTGGAACAAACAACAACTGTTAGTGGAACAAACAACAACTACTGTTAGTGGACGAACTTTGATTCTGTCCAGTTTTAAGTGTTTTTACGATTATCTGCTAGATAAAATTATTGGTTTTGTCAATGAAGTCTGGTGTACTTTAGCCCCAATGAACAATACTTTTATGTTTTTGTTGTTTATGACGTGATTCTGCAGTGGCTTGATTTCGTATTAGAAAATATCCATAAAATGAAGACTGGAGAGAGTTTGTTAGATTAAACTGAGTAAGTATTTGATGATCTGTTATTTGATACATATTGCATTGTGGTTCGAGGCGAGTTGTGGTGCCAGACTCCATTTACAACTCTCGAATATTTGGCACGGTAGCGTTCGCGTGCAGGAAGGAGTGCAAACGTCTCATATCTCACCTCAACTGAGAGCACAATGGAGCGTCTTTGATCCAGTCTTTCATCTGTGAAGCAGTCGTAGTTTAAAAAGGATGTTCAATGACTCGTGAGGCCTTTGATCCTTTTTTTGGCCGCTGTGATTGTCAGTGTGCACTCTGCCTCCCTCAGTCTCTGATTGTGGACGTTCAGTTTTAATTATTGCTAAATGAACACAGACTCACTGAGGAAACAATGTTTTTTGAATCTCTAAATGAATCAAAGCAATGTACCAAGTGCTGTATTTTAATTATATATTTTATAGTTATAACATTTATATTAAACATCTTCAGTTACCTTATGCTATGCTATGCTATGCTAAGTTAACCACGTCTTGACTCCAGCTCTCCAGGCTTTAAACTGTTATCCATCTTGGCTATCGATCCCTTTCAGAGCGATTTGATGAGCGATTTTGTGGTTATCAAATGCTCATATTTAACGTGCTGTAAGAGTGTCAGCTTTCTTCCTGTTATCAGTAGGTGGCGCTATGAGTATGAATGAATATTTGCATGTGTTCAGGGTGGGACTCTTATGAAACATGTAGCGTTTAGTGCAGATTGGACAATGTATGCTGAAGTTAACTTCCTGTTTCATGGTGTAACGTTGACATTTGGCGCCACGCCACGGACACGCCCTTTGACGGAAACTCATAAATAACACAAATGTTAACCCTGATGGTGTTTAGATCATACGGGCTGAATGTGAAGTTGATCCATCAATCCTCTAGAAGGAGTTCGTTAAAATACAACGTGTGCAAAACCCCTGTTGGGTTTGGGGCAGTTTGAATAGGGACTCTCAGCTCGGACCCTGATAATGTATCGTAACACACGTTTTTTCTGGAGCTGAAGTAGCTAACGAGTGAGACATCCTGCTGATCGGTGCACATGCGCTCGATCGGGCACCAAAGTCATGAAGGTCTGCATCAGATCTGGAGTTGATCCATCCAGGAGCCGGGGAGATATTTCTCTCTGAACCAGCGAGTTAAGACCGACCGACGTCACTAACAGCAGTAAAACTATTCACATCCTGCCTGATGGTCGGCTGCGAGAACATCCAGTGAAATGCCTTTATAATCAGCCCACTCTGCGTCAACCATCCTGACATGGTGTGTTTATCTTTAGCAGTGTGACCTGCACACAACGTGTCCATTAACAAACCAGTGAAAGCCGGGATTAGACACTTACGTTCAGAGTACCTGCCTGATCTCAGGCCCCGCAGGATGGCCGACAGCGGCTGGATGTAGCACTGCAGCTCCGTGCACTGTGAGGAAAACAGATAACTCAGTTAGCATTCATACTATCAGCGCTGCGCCACGTAAAGTGCTTTCTAATAGCCACTTACCCATCCATAGCAGAGCTTATTGCTCTCCTCAAACTGAATACACGGTTGCATAATCACCCAGACTTCAGTTCATTTAATGAGTAGCGTGTGTGTGTGGAGCTGCACATGATTTACAGCTTATCTGAATTTCTTCAGTTTCTCAGCACTTATTGATTGAACTGACTGGCCATTTACAGCCGCTCCCTGTTGGACGCCATTAGTCTCGTGTTAACACTGAAGGTAAATGTCCGCAGGCCGCTCACTAACAGGCGGCCATTAAACAGCTGACAGGAGCTAATGGAGAAACTGATAGCGATCGACGGCGTTCACACGTGGCTCGCTCGAGCTGTCGCCTCCGTCAGAGGGACACATGAGACCCCGGCGGCACCAGACTGCCATGAAAACTGGCACCGCCGGATCCTCTTACGCTGTTTGATATGAGCAGGCCGGTGCTCGATGCCTCCCCATTTGTCATCTGGAGTTGACGTTTGCTTTCAGGGTGAATCCACTTCCCATCAACCTCCCTTTACGTCTCTGTTATTGATTTCTAAGGAGACACATTTTTGACACACGCAGTGCGCAGGTGGGGGGCTTCGGGCCTCCAGCAGGATACTGTAGAGTGAGAGAGGATGTGAGAGCGGATGTGAGAGCACACTTGTCAGACCTCTAAAAATAGGGTTCTGAAACCAAAGCGGGGGGTCCTCGCCCTAGAAAATCTGAGTATCGAAAGACTTTGTTTAGACTGAAAGATGAAGGAAGAAACAGCGTTTGTATGATAAATACTTTTGATTCCTCTCTGGTATAAACAGATCTTCATCAGTTTTTATTCATTCATGTTTTGCCCGAGTGCTTCAGGCCCCGTTTACACCTGAGTCTTGGATGATGTGATCACAAGTGGAAAGCGATAACATTATCAAGAGTATCAATACTTAAGACAGCACATATTTACACCACTACCACTACTATACTTCTCAATCTGACGTTTATCTGCGAGCTACAAAATCAACTGTAACTCTGAACTTATTTTCATGGAGTTTGGTTTGTTATAAACATGAGAACCTGATACTGGTTACAGAATCTACACAGATCAGCACTAACATTATGAGCACTGGGCTCCCTGACTGGT